AAGGATTAATTTATTTACTTAGTTATTGAATCTGCTATGGCAGATTTTACCATTTGGATGTGTTCTGTCAAAGCTGTTAAGGTTAGTAAGGTATTGGCATAACTCAACAGAAGAGCTGGCTGTTTTTATCACGTCACTTAACTAACAGAGCGCTATATTGTTATCTTAATATCATATTAAATATCGTTTTCATAAATTCACAGCCTTAACTAGTTATTTTGAATAATCTATTTTGCCATTTCATTTACTGAAAATAAAAAATAACTCAGCAATCACTGTGCTTTTCAATGTAATAAAGTTTGTCTTAATTCTTGCAATATGTATTGGCATGTAAATCCAAATTGTGTTAATGTTCTTCATCAGTATATAATTGTAGTGTATTATTACAAAATTCAACAAATTTCCCCTCAGTGATCCAACTTTGTTCCAAGTACTGAATCTCCTATTACCATGTAACGGCTGTGACACTATTTTGATTGTGCTCGTGAGGGGCACCGTTGCCATCACCTCTACTTTTGATGATAATTCAGCTTTGGGAACTGGAGGGTAGAGGCCCAGGGGCCTGAGGGGAGTTGATTGGAGTGGGAGAGACTGAGATAGTCTAAGCTTGGGATAGTGCCCCAGGATATCAGCAATAATTAGGCAAGAACAAAGGCAGTAGCAGAGATGTGAAAGGTGAGGAGCCAGAATTCTGCTAGCCATGCTGCACATAGCTGGCCTTGTAACATATTTTAAGTAGATGAAGGTAGACTCACTCATTAAGAATTACTGGTTAATTATTTTTGGAAGCAATGGAGGACTTTGATGATGACCCTGTAAGTCCCTGGCTTGAGAATGGTGGTACCACTTGCTGCCCTAAGGATGGCAGACCCATGAGGCAGTAGACTTGCTGCCTGCTGGATGAGTGATATGTCTAGTGTTTCAAGTCTACCTGACCTTTTGAGTCTTTCTGTAGTCCCATACTCTTTAATAATGGTGACTCTGTAAAGTATTATCTGGCCAAGAAAAGTCCCCTTCCTTCCACTCATTTTTTTCCAAATATTTCTTAGTTTTTTGATTAGTTTATCCCTACATATGTCATTTAGAATCATTTAGCTAAATTTAAAAATCTCATAATTGGATTAAAGTTGCTTTTAGCATTTAGGTTATCTTGAGAATTAATAATATTATTTTTAGTCTTTCTAATCAGAACCTTCATCTACATTTCTGTTTTTTCAGATTCCATCTTTTAATGGATTTTTGATATTTTCTTCATATAAATCACACATATTTCTTGCTAGGATGCCTAAGTATTTGCTAACATTTTTCAGATGCCGTTGTGAATGACAGCATGGAATTCCACCTTCCACACCCCATTTGTTTTCCTTTCCTTTCTTTTAAAAATATTTTATTATTTTATTTTTATGTGTATGAATGTATTGCTTGGATGTGTGTAAGTACATCCACATCATGAAATGCCTGTGGAGATCAGAAGAAGGTGTCAGATCCCCTGGGACTTGAGTTATAAGCAGTTGTTAGGCACCATGTGAGTTCTGGGAATCGAACCTGGGTCCTCTGCAAGAGCAGTCAGTGCTCTTAACCACTGAGCCATATCTCCAGCCCCCTGTTTTCCTTTCCTTTGATGAAAGAGAATTCTTTTTCTCTCTTTCTCTCCCTCCTTCCCTCCCTCCCTCCATCTTCCTCTTTCTCTCTCTCAAGTCTGGTGTAATCTAGCCACTTTACTGAGCAATTTCTTGTCAGTTTAGTAGTGTTTTACTTGAGTCTTCTGAATATTCTGGGAGCAAATAACTGCCATTTTGCCCATCTGGGGACACAGCTCTCTCTGGCTTGTCTAAGTCTAGGTTCTTGCTACAGAGCTTCCTGTAGGCAAGTGCCCATCTCACCTCTGCCTCCTCTTTAATGTCAAGTATACAGTATAGACTCAGTGAGTGTCTCTCAGATGAGAGGGAAGGAACTCCTTGGCTAAGAAGGTAATTCCTGAATCTGAGTGTCAACCCCTTGATGGGTCATTCCAATTAAGTGTCTACTCTTAGTCTTCTCAAAGAGCTAGGGGCTTTGAGGGTTAAGTGGCCTCCCAACGGCACTGAACCAAGATCAGGCCTGCATCTGTACTGCCCGTCCTCTGTTCATCGGCTGCTTACTTCAGCCAGGTCCTGTCTCTGGGTTAGGGGGAAGAGCTGTATGCTGGAGAGCTATTCCATTCCCACACTCCATTGGCCTGAAATAAGTCTCCTGTGTTTCATCAAGTGCTGAGATTCATCACTTTGAGTGGCCCGGGAAGGTTGAGAGCTTGTGAAGCTAAAGACCCATGTCTGACCAGCTGCTCACTATTGATAGTTCCAAGTCATATTGATCTTGGTGACTTAGGCCAACATCACCCCAGGTAAGACATTTTCCCCTGACTTCAGGTGGGCTTTTTCTTATAATTGCTGGTGATAGTAAGTTACAGAATATTTCTGGGGAAGTAGTAGCATTTTTCCTGGTAATACTTAAAGAAGCAGCATTACAATGCCTAAGAGGGTAGACTGAGGCTGCTTCTTGGTATTATTTGGTATTAGTTTCCTGCTGCTGCTCTAACAAATTACTATAGTCTCAGGGGCTTAAAATGTTACAGATCTGCTATTTTGTAACTCTAGAGGTCAGAAGTTTGAAATGGTTCTGAGATGAAATGGAAGTACCAGTAGGGCTTAGTTCCTGGGGAGAAGTGGTTTTCTTGCTTCTCTCCTACCCACGTTCCTTGGAACATGGTCTCCTTCCATCTTCAAAGCCAACAATACAGCATCACTCCAGCCTCTGCTCTTTGCTGGTGCCAGCCGGCCTTAGATGAACAGCACCTGAAAGGGGGAGTGAGGATTGAAAGAAAAACAAGAGACAGAGAAAAGATACTTGGGAGGACTGTCAGTAGAGACTGCAGCCCGGGTTTATTTTAGCTCAGCCTTCTTATACAGCAGAACATCAGATAGCCACAGTTTACTTAGCTCAATTAGCTTTAACAGTT